GTTTGTTCAATGTCAACATGTCTGTCTGGGGTATAAAATATTAGTTCTATTATGTTTCAGTATAAACAGATCAATAGGAGAATTAAACGGCAGATAATTAGATTACAGTTATGTTAAACCACAGATTAATATGGCAATAAGCATAAAATCCCATGAAGAACTGGATTCTCTCTATGCATCCACGTCCGGACATATGATAAGAAAGGTATGCAGGAAACCTGTTGCTGAAAAAGTCGAATTTCTGCACGTTCTATTTGGATGCGTTTTGAGTAATTCAGTAATGAGTGGGACCAAAGTCATCAGAAAATACTACAAGACAAACAATGACAAAACTTTCTAAAAAGAAAATACAAATAATGAGCACAAGAAATAGGATCTGGTCTAGACATTTTCTATTATAAAGTGTTTGGTTTTAGTTATATTTTGTTTATGTTGGTTTGCAAATGCTATCAATGTTGCTGTGATTTTTGGAGGTGAACCTTGAGAGAAGCTGAAATTTATGCAAAGTGTTGATCTTCTTTTTCAAATGTTTATAAAAAGTGAAAAACTATGGTCGATTTTATAAGAAATATATTGATTAATACATTTACATCTTACTATGTCTTGAAATTAACATGTTAAAGGTTAGAAAATCAATTTGTACTAAAAGTGCTGTAAACTCCCCCTCCCTCCTCCCACCCACCCAGTAAGGTCCAAAATGGTTGGTTCTGAGTTCTGTCCCAAGGCAAACGGAAACGCAAAACACACACATTTTCTACACACACACATTATGCCTGACTCACACACAGCTGCTTGTTTTCACTGAGAGGCAGAAGAAGGAGCACAGTTTCCAGAGTGCACACAGGGGCGATCAAAATAGAATTAGGGCCCAAGGGTTTAGAAGCATTTTTAACTGAAAACAATGTACAGATCGTTACACTAGAATGATATTGTGTACGGCATGTAAAGTGACTGATTCTGCAGCTTATATTTGATTATGATAAACCCCACATGATTAGACGAATCCTTTCTTTGCACATAGATGACAGAATTAGATTACTCCTGAGTTATGTTGGTCTTACTGTAGCAAAGTGAATAAGTGAAACACTAATTATTAAGAATACTTAAAGGTGAATTTTCAAAAAGAGCAAGTTACATTTATGCTAAGGATTTCTTAATGTAATTAACTTTTGATGAAACTTGATAGAACAAATAAAACTCAACAATTATTAGAGGTAAGAGATAAATAAAATGAAGTCCATTTAACACCTTGAAGCAAAAGCTGGAAAGTGGTTTTGCTATGGGAAAATTATGATTTATAAATAGTTTTTTCATAAAACAATTAACAAGGCAAATTATTTTCCATGAATATAATTAAACTTAAAACAGTATTGTGGTTGTCTTAAACATGGGGTGTTGTGGAGGATGTGCATTGTTGTTTGCAGAGTGGTGAAATAATCTGAATAATGGTATGTAGACACAGGAGTTGGATGAGTTTGGCTGAAAGGTTAGGATACGGTGCCCTGAGCCCAGGGGGGCTCGGAGCGGCACGAGAGTCGTCCAGACTTGTGACCAGCTGATTACTAAATGCCAAGGTGAGCCTGGTGAACTGAAGCCGTGCAGCCGAGACCGAATGAGGCGGAGACTGGATGAATCACGGTCATCCAGCCGAAGCGGCTCGAGCAAAGAACACTGGCAGAACTAGAAAGGGCTGCAGCTGACATGAAAAGCTTGGAGGGAAGTGCTGGCCTAGTGGTTGGGGCATAGAGCTTGGAATCCTGAGGTTGCGAGTTCGGTACCCTTTTTCCACAGACTGCCACTCTGGGTCTCTGAGCAAGACCCTTAACCCTGGTTGCTCTCTGGTGCCTAACGATGGCAGCCACTGCTGAGATCAATAAAAACTTCAATTAATTATTAAGCTCGGCCAAAATAGGAGATGGTTTCTGTCGCTGGTTGCTCGACGTGAAGAAAACACTGAAAAAAGCCAAACACATCAGATACTCAAATTAACACAGCTTTATGGTCAGAGTAAGTGAATTATGGTTTATTTATGTACAACAGCAGAGATCAGCAAAACATTTACATTTACATGGTGTCTAAAATAATTTCTATTCTGTCTTACAAAACAACCTATAGGTTTAACTGTACTTCTAATTCTAAAGCATCTATTGCAAACTAAATACAATCAAAATTTGTAATCAACGTCTTAGAGCAGTTGTGATTATCTTAATATAAAATTACATTCCAAACCTTGTCATGATTTTCTTTATAGCAAAACTATTTTGTAACATCATAATGCATTACGTTCTGGTTCAGATACTTTATAAAGCAAACACTTAACAAAATATGGTCAGCATTTAATATAGAGTGATGTGAAGTTTGCTGAGCACATTATGAGACTTAGAACCAGCATGAGGAAGAATATCTCATATCACATTTAGCAGAGACATTTTAGGACTTAGAGAAAACATGCTGATCAGTTCATGCAATTAGAATTAAGTAACACTGAGATTTAGATAAGTTAATAACATTAGAGTAAGATTTTGTCCTTTCTTTCCCTTTTTTTTTCTGTTCATCTTAGAACAACTTGTTTCCAGCTTTGGGGGACAGAACTCACACTGACATTCTGTGTAAACCTGCTGATGTTTACTTTACAAAGACTGAATTAATATTGGGAAAACTATAAGCAGTAATTATTAAGCTTCAAAATGTTCATAATATGTTACTAATTGCCACTATGTAAATCATTACAACGGTTACATCCTGAATCCTTTGGGATGTTGTTTGAACCTTATTTTACTTTTAGTTCGTTTTTGGAACAGTTAAGTTGAAAAACCACCAGCTATGATTTGTAAAGATTCAGCCAACAGTGAATCTACAGATGTTATTTCAAATATTAGAAATTAGTTTTCTTCATTATCACTACATTCTCTGTTAAGGTTGATAAACATGATGTATTAATTGATCAAAGGTTTGAATGTAAAAGATCAAACATTTCCAGACCAGTTTTATTTTAAGTACAAAGGCTCAGCCTCCTTAATGCAGGACACAATTTGGACCAGGTTTTAATTGCACATTCTGCATTAACAACGTACTAATTATTCTGCTTTAAGTTTCTCTTCACAGATGCTGCTAAACCTGAAACCTTTTCTGAAGGAAGACTCACGGTTTGTGCCAAATGTCATAGTAAGGTAGGAAAACTATTAATGGCTATTACATAGAGCTCAGCTGCTGATACTTTAGATTTGCTCCCAAATTCAGTGATTTAAAACAAACAGTCTATAGTATTAAGAACTAAATCAGAAGATAGAGACACGTGAAAATTATGTGATTATGTTAGAATAGGTCATGATTCAAATTAATTAAATAGAAACATTTAACAAGAACCTCCTAGTGATTATCAAGGCACAAAGTAGAATGTAAAATTAACATGTGTACCTGTAAACTATATGGAATATAAATATTAGAGAATGCAAAAGAAGCTGCTAAAAGTAAATAAATCAGGAAAACTTAAATTAAGACTGTCTACAACATAAAAAATAAATAAATAAATAAATCAGCAGAAGCCTATGAAGTATTTAAAGACAATGAATTTCCATAAATTAGAGATTCTATGAATCCTTAAATAATGCACTAGATGTACCTCTGTAAAAACTTTAAGTAAAACTAACAAATCAACATTCAGACTAGTTTTACAATAATAAACCAGGATGTTTATTGAAGTGAGATTTTCTCTCCCCAGCATCAGGACTAGCTGTTTACTCAATAAGATACAGAAATAGAGAATAATGTTTGCAATGTTTTTGTACAAAATGTTACTTGGATTTTGAATAAAACTCTTACATCCTAAAGTGAGAGCAACATGTATTTACTTCAATATATGAGGAAGTTATCCTTTTGAGGAAACTAACATAATAATGCTTGAAACAGAACAAAGAAGCAGATCTGGTTCAAGAAGTGAAGAACCGATTATATTAATAGATGTAAGAGGTTAGTTATGCTTTAGATTACATTAGATGATTCTACGTGAAGCGTAGAATGAAAACTGTTTACGTCACTAAAGATTAATATAGAAACAAATCAGAATCCTAAATGCAGATGACAAAAGACTTAAAACAGATTATAGGCTAAAACAGACTAAAGACAGTTCTAGCTCAAAGCCGAATAAAGTATGTTAATACTTACTCAAATATCTTTGTGTTTCGAAAGACATTTTTTCTGTCCGCCTCTCTCTTGGTTGTTCCATAGAGACAGGAAACAGTCACTTCGCATTCCAGTCTGATTAAGCAACTTAAGTCCACGGGAAGAAAACCTTTTATTTTTTGTAGCTTGGCAGAGAACTACAAGAGTGATTAAGGTTAAAGTGGACACATTAACTTGTTTATGAATATCCAAGGCGAAACGTACAATCTTGAAAAGGTTACATTCCTGGTTATCTGCACTGAGCCAACTAATATCTAACAGAATAAACATTATAAATAAGTAAAAGTAAAAATGTATCTCTGCAGAGTTTGCAAGATCAAGGATTAGTTTCGTTTAGAAATCAGACTTTACACAAATAAGTTGAAAAGTTAAACATAATTTCTGTCTCCAGTACGTAACGCAGATTGTCACACATGTTCTTAATACATTTCTAACAGTAGAATACTGAATAAAACAGGCGTTACAACTGGAAAAGCACCTTAAGATTTGAATTCAGGAATATTATGTAAAAGTGAGATTATGTGATCCAAGTGTATAAACTGTCCAATAAATCCTAGATCTAGATGTCTTTACAAATGTTGTTATAAAGCACAGAAAGTCGGAATGCAGATTGTATTTAAAATAATGCAGGATGGCACTCAACTTGCTTCCAGAGGAAAAAGGATTTTTGCTTATATTCTCATTATTACTATACTGCTAAAATCTTTACTACTTCTTACTACTCTTGTGCATGAAAACCCTGGTTACCGAAATTGGAACAGAAGGCTAAGATAATAAGAGAAAATATTTTCAGTGTTTAAAATTTTTTAGAGCAAGGATCACCAAATTGCCCCCGGATGATGCCTCCACACCCTGTGACAAAATGGCTGAGCCTCGGTACGCTATGGAGCCTGAAAAGAACACCTGAGAGCTGAGAGCGGTTTGACTATATTATTTCTTGTCTTTTCTTTCATAATCTAATTCCCATGTAAGAGGAACCTGTTTAAGGGTCGCATTGTAAATTCAAACTGTTATTTACTCATGTTTTTTGTTTTCTTTCCTTGTGTCATTAACATATAATTGGGGATTGGTGCACTTCGAGGAAAAGGACCCAGGAACTCTGTGATGAGAAGGACCTTACAGAGGAATAGAAAAGGTGATGAAGTTTCATTGTATTTATGTCACACTTAGCTGTGTTAGCAAGTATTTAAATTACAAGATTCCTAAAATAATTGTGGAGCGATTTGAAGATGTAACAGATTGCACAGTAGGATTGGACTGCCATTCTCTTTGAGTAAAGTTTTCTCCTGTTTTTGTTATCTTAGGAAGGTAAGATGATTGTAATTTATTTCATGTTTCTTTAAACAGGTAAGATGATTCCTAAAGAAGATAGACTATTTTATTTGTTGTTTTGGCCTGAGGTCCAATCTGAAGTCCTACAATCGTGTTACATGATTTATTTCATTATTATCATAAAGGATAATTCTCTAAGATTTAAATTTTACAGTTTATTGGAGGATATTTGGAAATATTAATAATTGCAGATAAGAGAGAAGATACACCAAGAGACAATGGGACATTACTGCAACAATCAAAAGTTCTCTTATTTTAATTTGAACATTAATTACAGAAACTGGACTCATGACGAACAGGATGTGTTACATCTCTAGATTTAGTTTCAAGATACTGGTCAGTTTTTTTTTCTTTCCTCTCAGGATCACATCTGATAGTGAGATTTAAGGACACTGGGACAAGGACTGCCCTCACTCTGGATCAGCATCAGCCATGGACACATGAACGATATGCTCGGCCCAGGGGACCAGGACAACCAAGGAGTAGACTGACTGAACTCAAATATTAAGGGAGGTACATCAAAGAGTAATGAAAGGACAAGAGGACCAGCGAACTCTAGCTACACGTCAGAAAAATGCAACACCAAGGAGCCACCAGGAGATGGACGACCGACAGGATCAGATGTGATGAAAGCATCACAGGAGGGAATGGGATCGTTCTCCAATTGAATTAGATAAGTCAAACACTATGTACTACAATAGGATTGGAATAATATGAATATTATGTTCTATGATTAGTTGATATTTGCTGATAAGAACACTAATTGTGGTTTTTCTGTCTTACTCAGTTTGAGGGGATGGATTGTAAAGACCGGTGACTCCAGGCATAAGACTGCAAACCTTCAACTTCTGCCTGCAAAATACTAAGGCGGGAACCGCTGATCCTGTGTTCATGCCTTTAAAAGCCAAGGACAGAGCCCTGAAGTGAAAGAACTATATTTTTTATTTTTTCAACAGGAAAGAAGACAACACAAGTATCGATTATTCTTGTATTCTGTAAATATAAACCTGATGATTGTAACATGCCATTGCTTTGCATTATAACCTGTATTACTGTTTTATTATTTCACATTGTGAACCATCCATAGCAGGCTGTTTAGAGGACTGGGGACTCAGACTACTGACTGACTGACCTACTTAATTTTTCCTTTTCTTTCATTTACCTAGCCTTATATACTACGATACACTATAACTAAGTTCAAGTTATTTGAAAGGTTGTGAATAGTTATCTTTCACATATTAAGTAATATCAAGATTGGGTTGTAGGGTTCAAACAGTGTTGGTTTCACAGATCATCATGAGTAGCATGGTCAAGATGCGATTTGTGCTACAGCCGACGCCGGAGGAAGGATGGATGTTTGGGGGATGCTTGGGTCTATGGGATAGTTTCCTCTTACATGAGTATGAAATGAAAGAGTAAGATGCCCACAGGACGAAAAAGGGGTTTTCGATCCCATACTAATCGAATCATGGCCATGTGGAAAATGATGATCTTTCTTTGAAGGTTCAGTAATATTCACTTTGTTTTGATATTCACTTTGGTTTTGTTATTAATCATGACACTTTAATTTTCATTTAATTTGTTTTTCTCAACTTGCATCCGTACTGGGCTGCGTCGGTAACACTTAGATACCGTTTCATTTAAACTTCACATACACGTAAGTGCACTTAGTTGCGTAATATTACCATCACTATGCAAATTCTCATTGGTACTTCATTTTCAATGAACTACAGGAGGGAATGTAGAAGCGAATTGTGTTGCCTTAGGTCATCGTGACCTTAAGCTCACAATAATTGATAACACAGAGCAAGCAGTCTGGAAGCCACGTACACATCTTGGCAATAACAAGTGTTCACAGGCTGGAAGCCACGTACATATTGGCAGTAACAGTGTGTTCACAGGCTGGAAGTCAAGTACAAGTATTGAAAAACAGGGTCTTTAAGGCCCACTCGCACGCAATCCGGTCACAGGCCAAGAACTTCCAGGAAATTCTTCAGAGCGTCCAGTCGTGCACATACATCCACACAGTGCAATGTTGAAACTATATAAACGCCCAGATTTGAATGAGAGTTGAGAAAAGCTAGATGTGTTCTGTTGAAATGTTCAGCGCTGTGTTACGTGTACTGAGGACAGCATGTCAATTTGATCTATAAAATAAATGCTTCTTCTCCCGTCCTGGGGCAATCAGATGATCGACTGAAGGTGTCCTGATTTTTGACATTCTACCATTGAAAACCACCACACGGCAACTGTGTTGCTCCAGATGGTGCGGCATCGGTGGATGTGGTGCCGGACTGAATGGGCTGAGATTTCCTTCTCATCAGCAGGAAATAGCGGAGGCTGGTATCCTAAAGAGATTTCAAAGGGGGAGAGACCGGTAGCAGATGAGACATGAGCGTTATGTGCATACTCCACCCAATGCAGGAACTGACTCCAGTCAGCGGGGTTGGTGGACATGAAGCACCTGAGGGTGGACTCCAGCTCCTGGTTCATACGTTCAGTTTGACCGTTTGACTGGAGATGGTAACCAGAGGTTAATGAGATCTTGGCTTCGAGGGCAGAACAAAAATGTTTCCATACCTGGGCTGTAAATTGTGGTCCTCTGTCTGACAGAATCTCCTGTGGGATGCCGTGTAACCTGAAAACGTGCTTTATTAGAAGAAGAGCTGTCTGAAAAGCGGTGGGAAGTTTTCTCAGAGGGATGAGATGGCAAGCCTTGGAGAATCTATCGATGATTGTGAAAATGGTGGTCATACCCTTGGATGCAGGTAATCCAGTGACAAAGTCTATGGCGATGTGTGACCAAGGGCGTTTGGGAATAGGCAGGGGATGAAGGAGACCAGAGGGAGGCAGATGAGAAGGTTTATTCTGGGCACAAACTGGACAGGCTAGAACAAACTCCTTTATGTCCTTGTGTAGTGAAGGCCACCAAAACCGAAGGGAAATCAGGGCAACGGTTCTACTGACCCCAGGATGAGCTGATAACTTGGTGGAATGCATCCAATGAATCAATCTAGACCTTACTGAAGAGGGAATGTAGGTGAGTTTGCTGTAAGTTATAGGACTGTAAGATACTGTTCGGGTTTATCACTGCTCTCAACCGGGAGTGTCGGCCAGAACACTACTCAGGCCAGGATTTCAATCAGGACTAGATGTTAGGAGAAGATGCAGCAGGTGGAGAATGAAGACATGAGCCAGGATCCTTTAAGTGGTCTGTATTCCAAACTCAATTTCGGATTCCAATTGATTAAATGAACATAAGGTATTTCCAGGTAGATATGTGTGTAAGTGTGTGTGTGTGGTGTCCTAAAACAAGACAAGAAAGATAATTCAAATTACCCTATCATTACACATCACACCATAGATAAGCTAAGGAGAAATAATTAAACTCTAAAAAGTTTAACCTCTAATATACTGTTAATCAGCAAACGACAAAGTTAGCTAACAATCATGGCTTGGCGCAATCTAGTGGATGCGTAGGTTCGGCACAACACTCTACAATACACACACACAGCAGATAACCAAGACTTATCAACAGGTAACTAAGAAAGAAAATAACTCATTTAAATGCAATAAACACTCAAATATTAAACTTACTCGTCAGTGACGCATACTTATTTGAAGAACACACATATTTCCAAGTCCTTTCCCTGTGTTAGCTCAGTGACTCAACTGCCGAACTTTCCAACCGCAGCAGCAACGGTCGTCACGGCAACGCTGTCCCTACTTCTGCATGCCTTAAGGGCCAAAATAACACTGCGCAGAAACTACAGAATATAAACAGCAGTACCTAACATCGAAACCTAAACTACTTAAGGGTCTTTTGTACAGGGAACGTTCGTTTGTTAGGCGGAACTGTGCCGGGATATGGTTCAGAAGTTTGAGCTTGTTTAATCAGGTCAGATATTTCCCAGGAGACTGTGGCGACAGTACAGCTAGCCGGTAAAATACTAGCTGGAGTTTCAGGTTCATCAGTAGCGTAAAGACGGGACAGGCGTCAGGTTTAATGTTTTTAGAGCCAGGCCGGTAGGAGATGATCAGGTTGAATCGAGAGAAAAACAGACCAACGGGACTGACGGGGATTTGATCTTTTGGCTGATTGAATGTACGAAAGATTTTTGTGATCTGTCCATACCAAAATGGGATGCTCTGTGCCCTTCAGCCAATGCCGCCATTCTTCCAAGGCCAGTTTTATGGCAAGGAGTTCTCTGTCACCGACGTCGTAATTTCGTTCAGCAGCGGTGAGTCTGTGGGAGAAAAATGCACACGGATGAGTTCTCTGGTCAGAATCAGAACTTTGGGACAGAACAGCCCCCACCCCTGAGTCAGATGCATCCACCTCCAAAATTAACTGTTTGGAGGGGTCCGGTTGAATGAGGACGGGTGCGTTGGAAAACAGAGTTTTGAGTTTCTTGAAGGCTGCTTCAGCCTCAGTGGACCAGTGAAAAGTTCTCTTAGCTGAAGTTAAGGCTGTTAGTGGTTGGGCTGTTTGGCTGTAGTTTCTGATGAACCTACGATAAAAATTGTCGAATCCCAGAAACCTTTGAAGTTGTTTCCTGTTTTCAGGAGTGGGCCAGTCCAGAACCGCCTTGATTTTATCCTCCGATGGCCTCACCTGCCCGCCCTCGAGCACAAAACCTAGAAAAGTAACAGATGGGCGATGAAACTCACATTTTTCAGCCTTCACAAACAGTTTGTTTTCCAAAAGTCTTTGCAGGACCAAACTGACATGTTTTTGATGCTCAGAGATGGTTTTGGAGTAAATCAGGATGTCATCTAAGTAGACAAACACAAAAACGTTTAAAAAATCTCTCAAAACGTCATTCACTAGAGCCTGGAAACAAGCTGGGGCGTCAGACAGACCGAAAGGCATTACCAGGTACTCGAAATGTCCCAGAGGTGTTTTGAAGCCTGTTTTCAATTCGTCTCCTTCACGGATTCTGAGAAGGTGGTAAGCGTTTCTCAGGTCTAGCTTGGTGAACACACAGTGGCACCCTGAACCGGTTCAAAGGCAGAGGCTAACAGAGGCAACGGATATTTGTTCTTGATTGTTATTTGGTTTAACCCACGGTAATCAATACAGGGTCGCAGAGATCCGTCTTTTTTGCTGATGAAGAAAAACCCGGCTCCTAGTGGAGAAGAAGATGGTCGGATTATCCCAGCGGCTAGTGACTCATTGATATATTTCTCCATGGTTTCCCTCTCAGGTTTGGAGATGTTATAAAGCCGACTGTTTGGGAGTGGGGCCCCAGGGAGAAGATCGATGGCGCAGTCATATGGACGGTGCGGAGGGAGAGAAAGGGCTCTAGCCTTACTGAACACCGGAGCCAAATCATGATAATCAGGAGGAATGGCAGAGAGATCGGGCGGGTCAACCTCCTGACAGTTTGCCGGCGACTGAGTCGGAGGGGCGGCGGAACCGAGGCAGGAACAATGACAGGGAATAGACCAGGACTCCACATGTCTCTTAGACCAGTTAATATTTGGGTTGTGGAGTTGCAGCCAATCAAAACCCAAAACAATAGATGAGCTTGCAGATGGAAAAACATAAAAAGAAATGATTTCTCTATGGTTTCCGGAGATTAGTTGTTCTAAAGGTTTGGTCTGATGCGTAATTTGAGATAGTTGTTTTCCATCTAAGGTGGAGACTCTCAGGGGTTTAGTCAAAGGAGCGGTCTCAAGATTTAGTTGTTTGACCAAACTAGAGTCGAATAGATTTCTTTCACAGCCTGAATCAATCATAGCCGACAAAGTGAGGGACTGATCTTTAAAAAAAAGAGTAGTGGGTAACAGAAGTTAGGGAGATTTTTCAGTTTGAAGATGGTCCGTCAGACTCCTCATTTCCTCTGGCGGACCCCGGCTTTTACCTTAGCGGGACATGTTGAAACAAAATGTCCAGGTTCTCCACAGTACAGGTAGAGGTTTTGTTTGTATCTCCTTTGTCTTTCTTCAGATGAGAGTCTGGTGTGACCGATCTGCATGGGCTCGGCTTCTTAGGACACTGTGGAAGAAGAGACTTCATTAGCTCTTTCAATAGACCTTTCAGGAAGTGTAGTGACTGGGAAAATACGGCTCTT